TAACATTAAAGCAAACTGAGTATTTTTCTGGAACAGTTGACTTCTGTCCCCAGGACCAGGTCCTTGAATGCCTTACTTGACATGTGTGCCTCAATTGGCATGGTGGCATCAGTGCAAGTTTAGACTGTCTGGGAGGGACCACGTCACAAGCGGTAGTTGGTACCCGTTCAGACTGAACGAGACTGAAGTACCCCGACGAGAGTCGAGGGGCCATAGACCCTATCGATCGTCGCTGCGTAAAACCTTAACGGGTGTCATAATGACCGGCAGAGCAGAAGACAGGCATGCGTGCGGCACACGTTAAACTGCAGCTGTACGTCACGTCAGGCATCGCGCCAAACATCATCTCCAGTAAAACTGACTAGAAATTGCCAATAGAAGCGAAGAGACGAGTCCCAGGAAGTAGTCTTGAAGAAGGAGACACGATCGCCGGGACAAGAGCTTTATTAGCCTGGCTGCTGCATACCTATAAATACCGCAGCTCCTTGTGCAACAACCACCCGTTTCTGCTTTTTTGTCTCTGATGATGGATTCGAGTAGGAATACGAAACGTCAGGCTAATAAAGCTCTTGTCCCGGTGATCGTGTCTCCTTCTTCATGATTCGAAATTGTCATTATTAGGTGATGGAAAAGGAAAGATGGAGTGAGGATGATCCAACTTAGCTTTAACAGTTACCAGACACACTATACCAAACTCAGCGGGCTCTTAAACTGTAACGACACATCAAAGGTCGTGGTTTGGAGGATTGCTAACTAACGACATGACGCGGTTCTGCCCAGCAAAGACTCATTCTTAATGCGACTCTTATGGCTATTTCCCTAATTTCGACGTCCGCGATCTCCACACAAAAAACAGGTTAATGTGGAGATAGGAACGGGTGTGTAGTGCGTGTAAGCTTGAAGTAGGTCAAGTCGGTCACTGAGTGCACGCAAATCTCCAGTCGTCTCTACTATGTCTTGTCGGCGTAACGCCGTAGATGTAGGAAGACAGTGAGGCAGATGTAATGCAAATTTTCCCTACTACAAGACAGTACTGTCTCTCCAGAACAACGGTGGTACTCAATGCCTGAGACGAATGAAGCATTCGTCCAGGCGCTTCCGTTAGTGGTGGTGGTGGTGGAAAGAATGCAAAAGCAAACTTAGACATACCTTTTGACGTAGCAAATGCGGACGGTTGGGCAAGCTGAAACGGTTGGGCAATTGGATGTGGCCTAGACGGGACGAAAAGGACAGAGAAAAGGGAGTAAGTTAAAGAATGTGTGATAAATAAGCCGGCGGAGGGGGAGGGGGGCGGGGACGGGAAAGGACGGCGTTGGCTGTGCGTGTGTGAATGTAGGGAGAGACCGGGAAATGAAAACGCTGGGTCTCCGCTAAAAATTCCACACACTTCCGGCGGGATGGACAAAACATGAAGGTGGGGCCAGTACCTTCTAGCAGGAAGGAATGCAAGCGGTTAAACTTGAGGGAGAGCAACAGCTAGACATATATATATGTAGGCGGAAAGAGCAGAGGACAGCTCAGGCAGCCGCTCAGGAGGCATACGCGCGTGCAGTGACAAGCTGAGCACGGAGAGGGAGAGCGAAGCCTGGAAAAGAACACAGAAACTCACTCCTCAAAGGAAAAGTCAAGGAGGATGAGATCAAGCAAGCTGAAAACATACAGCCGGCTTAGTCGGAAGCAGAGAGTTAAACGAAAGTATGCATAGGGGTGACACAGTCGACCAAAAGCAAAACAAATTTAGAACTAAAAAGTTGAGAAGATAAACAGGAATGACACATGCGTGCGCGCGCACACACACACACCGTCTTCCTGCCAGAAAGAACAGATTAATTGTGCAAATTAAATAAAAGAACATAAAAGGCGTGAGTGTGGACAGGGGGGGGGGCATTGGGGGGCAGGGGGATCCAGATCGGGGAAGGGCATACAACATAGACGTCGCTTGAGGTAAACCTTTTCGGCAACGTAATGCAAGGCGCGGTCAGACGGGCAACACACTCAACAGAAAGAACAGATACAGGTAGAGATATCGCCTTGTAGGTTCAGGGAGCTAAGCTCTTAGGGGTGGAGGGGTCAGAGAACGCGTACAAAACAGTCTGGCTTGAGGCTTCGAAACAAAAATTTAAAAACAAAAAACAGGAGTCGTTTTATTAAGCCAACATATCAGTGCTGCGTACAACGGAGTTCGATTGCCCTTTAAATGAGACCAGAGGCACGGACGTTTTTAGTACGAGGCATAGACAGGAGGTGAAGCAAGTCGACTTAGCGCTGGTTGCAGGAGCGATATAAGCAGTGTAGAAGAGATGGTAGACATTACGGAAGCGGTAGTAGGAGTAGAAGTAGTGGTGGTAGTGGTAGTAATAGTGGTGCTAGTAGCGCAAACTTGCCGTGGGCGGGGTTTTGGTCGACGCTTTTTCGGCCTAGTAATTCGGGAAAAATTGAACGCAAAACGTTTACCATGGATGACTACTGTATACGTAAGAAGAAGCAAGAAGCCAACAGAAAAAAAACTTAAGGGGAAGCGATGGCAGTGCTATATACGCGTACATAAGAAGAACAGGCGATCTTCGGAAATCACTAGAAAACGTTGTACTCGGTATGTTGACGATATCTTCGTCATCATTGAGCGGAAAATGCCCCCAGAATTCTACGTTTCGGGTTCTGTTGCGGAAATCAGCAACCCACTGTCGTTCCTGGACGTCCTCATTAAAGAAAAGACTAATGGGTAGCTGTGGCAAATACGATGACCGGCAGTTTAGGTCAAATCCTGAGTTGTTATAGCAAACGGCTCCTATGCCGCAAGCCCAGTCGTTTGTGACTAGTCTAAAACCGTTCAGAAACACACTTTAGACGACAATGGGTTAAAATAACGCTACCTCTAGCGCCTCTTCTTGATCAACAGTTCGGTAAAAAACAAGTCTGCGGCATTTGGTCGTCTGCTAGGAGAGATGAGGATATCAGCATCTCCCACAGACCGAAACTGACTATCCAACATCTTGAGGAGAAACGACCAACATCGGTGCAAGCCATTCAAAGTCAGCTGCATTGGAACGAGACTGTCGAACACCAGGGGGGGGGGGGAGAAGAGTGAAGTGGGTGAACAAGCCGTCCTTGATGGCAGGACACTGCATGAACTCTGGGCACATGTTCGCATTCCAGGGCATGGTCCAGCCCAGACGTCGCGAAACATGGCGCCCATGCACAAGTCCAGGAACCCGGATCTGTCGAAGGCGCAGTCGATGACGAGTTCGAGCCCCAGGTGTTCCACACTTCGGGGTTGGGTATGACTGGCTGACGATGGCTAATTAGCCAGATATGGCCATTCCAGTCTCCCTTATCTTTGTCGGTACTAACATTTGGCCTATGTCATGCGCCGCTGTGCGGCTGCTGGTTGGGCTCAAGGGAGAGCCCGTAAGGCACAAGGTAACGAGTAAGTTCCGTAAGAATGATCGGTGAGCGCCTCTCTGTCATCGTCAACGCTAACCAGGCTGATCAAAGTGTGGGAGCGATGTTGGCAGTCGTGGGAGCGACAGTTAGGATCAGTACAGATGCTACGATGGTCTCTAACTCCCAAACACCGTCCCCGTACCCCCCCCTACCCCTCCTCCTCCAAAAGGGAGGCTCGAGGACCGGTGACATTCTCTCGCCCACACCCTCCGTCGAGGCGAACGCACAGTTGGCTTCAGTTACTAGAGCTGTGCTGTGGCGTGGCAGGGTGTGACATCAGCTTCATACCGGGGACAAAATGCTTCAAAGCCTGTTTGCTTTAGAACAACACAAACGCCGTTTCCGAGATCGCCCTTCTTCTCATTCATGTTCGGGAACGCGCGTTGTAGTCTCTATTTAAATACAGCTGTATGAGTTGTACATGAGAGATAGCGTGCTCAACAGAAGAAAACAAGATTGCAATGAGGTGGGAGGCCTGGGCAACATATTGCGCACATGGGGATTATGTCGGTGTCGGCTGCGATGGAGCATGCGTGGCACAATAAGTGAGTAGCATACGCATAGCTTACAACTACGATAATACTACTAATAAGGAGGAGCAAGTAAACGTCACTTAGGTGTTCTGTGTAATTTTGGCCTAAACTGAGATAGGGGTGTCAAAAAGCACAACTGTGTAACCCACCAGCACTAGAGGTTTCGGAGTTTGCTAACCCTAGCATAAGTGGAGGCAACGGGTAAGAGGCAGACAAGTCGTGCAGTGAATGTGTTAGTTTTTATTTCTGCCACAGCGGGGGCACCGAAATGCGTCTGCCCGTCTGCAAAGGTGAGAAGTAAGAAGACCGTTAGCGGGCCGTTGAGGCGACCATTGTAGGTATGAGACAGTGTAGATCGGTCTCCCAGCAAACATAGACATGAAGTGGAACAGGACGAAATGTAGAACTATTGAGCAGAACCAGCGGTGGCGATGATGATGATGATGATGATGATGATGATGATGATGATGATGATGATGATGATGATGATGATGATGATGATGATGATGATGATGATGATGATGATGATGATGGCCATCAAACCCATCGTCGTTTTCACCCTAGTTAGCCGAAATATCACCAGTGGCAGTACCGTCACCATCAGCCTAAGGCGACTAGGTCTGCGCTTCAGCCACATCATGGTCCAATTATCAAAGCCTTTTCTGTAAAATTTTCTGGGTAAACACAGCCTAAGGGAGGTCCCATTCTGAATTACAGTTTTGATCTGCAGCAGAGGCAGTAGGACACACAACGAAGAGTAATTAGAACTCGAGAAGTACTGTCAACAAAGAACAGGTTGACCAAAATGGTCACTTATGGCAGCCTACTTGTCCTCGGTAGTCAATCATACCCAAACCGGGGGGCCGTGAAGGACAGTCTCAAATCGCGGATCAGTTGTTCATTATGCCAGATGACCTACCTGTTCGGGAAGAGGTTAGGCTGTGATGGCGTCTACTGGTTGGACCTGATCGTAGGAAGGAATGAGGCATTTAGTTTTGTCACAGTGACTGTGCAGGTTCCAGAATGGAGCTCCACTGTGAAACGGCATGCATGTATTCCGCCCGGTTCTCAAGGGATGATGATGATGATGATGATGATGATGATGATGATGATGATGATGATGATGATGATGATGATGATGATGATGATGATGATGATGATGATGATGATGATGATGATGATGATGATGATGATGATGATGATGATGATGCGAGACAGACAGAGTGCCAGAAACTACGACTGAATGCTAGGCTTAACGACGCTCCACACCCGAGATGGACGAGATAACACCGGTCCCACGCACCGCCAAACACTTTACAGGACCCTCGACAAGACATCAGCAATCGTGTGCAACACCAGCAGGAAGGCTCGTCTGCAGTAATTTTTCAGGCTTGTGGTCTGGAAGGTTGCCAACTGGCGGGACAACTCTGTCCTTATGCTGTGTACAGTGGAGCGACTGAAGAACGGATACTTAGACCTCGCAAGTACTCCCTTTCAATGTGGCCTTTATGACGTTTTTATCTATGCGAGATACGAGCCGCACTTATTGTAACCGGGTGCATACGGGATGTGTAGGGTCGCGTAGAAGGGCCGTTTAGTACCCGCGTCCACCTCCGGTTGTCTTGACATTGTCTTGCTACCGAAGCCGGGTAGGTGAGTGGAGTGTGAGGGTGCGGTAGATGCTGCGAAAGTCTGCCTCACTATCAACTAACTCATGCGCAATTTGATTGTGCCGCGCCTATTTCGTAAGGCATGCGATGGACATGTCGCTAGCGACAGTCCAACTGTAGGGTCTTCGGTAATCTTGGATCACTATCAAGTGTATTCAAATTCGCTCACTCTCTGGCCTTGGCAATAAAGTACTTCAAGTTCGTATGTCATCGTCAATGGTAGGTGGGTCGTCGTGGTTTCATGTAGGCAGTTTTAGCGATCTTGACGATGGAGATTGCCGCTTGTGTGGGCGGCAGAGGCGATTACGGTATTTATTACAAATATAGGAATAATAGTGGCGGTGCGCACATGCCCATCTCCGGTTGTTTGAACCTATCTTTCACCTGAAACATGACCGACGCATAGAGAGAGAAGGCGAGCTAGGTACTGCACAAGTCCCCCTTACAACATGCTAACTCATGCACGAGTCAGGAATGCATCCCGGACGGGGCAGTAAAAGACTTCACTGTAAACGACGGACGAATTATCGTGGCCGACATTAAAGGATATGATGATGAGGCGGAGGAGGAGGAGAAGGAAGAAGAAGCGGACAGTGCTACTGGTGTTGGTGGCGTTACCGACATCGGTGGAAGCATGCAAATGGCCCATAAAGGTTTGCCGCTTGCACATACCCCTCTATGCTGGCGTATCTTTTAAGCAAGAGGTCCGTATGCCATGGTAACTTGCCATGAACGTTCACATTCAGAGGGAATTAAGGGTTCTTTGTTCCCGAGCTTGGCGCAATAACTGGAGCAATTAGCGGGTGTTAGGAGGAGAATAGTATAAGCGCAAATTAGGTCCCCTGTCGACGTCGAATTAATGATATTCATTAGTATCCAAGCCGACGAATAACCAGACCGAGAGCCCACTAATTAAAGATCTTGCAAGGAAGAGAATTTTCGGACGCAAAAAACGACGCCGGCCTAGCCGGCGTGTTACCCTGTTAGGCCGAATGGGTACGCGGACATAGGGGCATTTGTGTACTAAAATGCAGTACTAACAATGAGCAGGGAGCTCGAAAGTAAAGAATAAACACGAATTCACTAGTAAAGACACAATTTTTCCGCCTATTCTGTGCGCGATTTAAATGTCCACCTATAAAGGCCGTTTTCATGGGGAATCTACTGAGGCCTGCGACTTCTCCAGACGTGCGTGAGATGAGAGAAACTGGCTTGCGAGTGAGGGTAGAAAAGTGTAGGCAAAGCTGGTGAGCCGAGCACATACATTGAATATACTACAAATACTTACTTCTACACTGGCACTGGAAGAGGAGAGAGTGGGGGGAGAGGGAGGTCAAGGCACACTAGGAGGCAAAGAGACCGACTTACTCTCTTGGAATGAGGATGATTTTGTGCAGCTCATCCTCAAAACGGATCATCTCACGACGTTGCTGCTCCTCCTCAATCAGGGCTGAGCGACTTGACGACCGCGAGTGAGACTCCAGTCCTCCAGGGCCTGGACACTCGGTGGTATCGTCGGCGGCCTCATTGCCACAACAGAACTCGCTCTCACACTGCTCGGGTCTATTTTGGGGGACGGACCAGGCTGGTCCGCCGGTCTGTGAACTCATTCCGTTAAGGGGTTGAAGGGAGCCTGGACAAAGGCAAGAGATTGAAAATTTCGAATCGGAAAGGGCACCCAGCGTTGATCACGCCTCAAGGCCGAGTCATTTGTAAAACGAGCAATCGCGCTGAAACAATTGGGCCTCGAGTGTTTGCAGCTAAATGTTGTTATCTAACAGGAAAACGTCGTTGCGCGTGGCTGAAGCACAGGCAGACATTGCAATTGTCCGGCAAAAAACTGTTTCTTTCAGGGCATGAATCATCCGAGTGAATGGTCGCTAGAAATCCTCGGCCTTTCTTATATGAGCAGTAACTGACAATGCGCTTCTTATCCCAGGCAAAGTTATGTCCAGTTTCTAGAGTATGCATGGCGACTTGGGATAAGTGGTCCCAGCTCTTTACTGCCAATTGGTGTTCATGTAAGCGTGTGGCGGCGGATTTCCCGGGTTGACCACAATATATCGCATTACATTAATTAAATGCTCCCTGTCCATGAAATACGGGAATTCGTAAACTGTATTTAAATATGTAGCGGGGGGAGCTTGACTGACAGAGGGAGACAAAATTCGGTTTGCTGACTCAACAACAATTTACGAAATTGGAATCTCGGAGTACTGTGGTCATTTTGATCATCCGGCTGTTGAGTACCCGTCCTGCGCGCAAGTTGACGGCGGTAATTTTACTGAGCCGGTATATACCCGCGTCGCCCTTCCACCTCTTACGCCGTATTTTAAGAGATCAAGACAGTTCGCTTCTAATCTACAATGTGCGAAACCTCCAGGCGATGCAACCCCTGGTAAAAGTAGCACAGAATCGAGTCTTCGAAAGTTATGCCGCCCAAATTGCAAGCCTTCTTATCCAGCATCGGAATCTTCGAAACACTTGACACGACCACAAACTGTGTCTCGCTTGTCGTGGACACAGCTGGAGTTTTCTAGTTTTGGCGCTGATGATGTGATGAAAGCTTATTTGCTTTTAAAACGTCGGGACAATACAACCATGGTTCTCGAGATCGCCTCTTCTCATTTATGTCCGGGACTCGGATCTTCGCCTCTAGCAGCAATATATATATATATATATATATTGAA